TCTATCTATCTATCTATCTATCTATCTATCTATCTATCTATCTATCTTTCATCTGTCTTTGAAAAACAGTTCTTACAAAACAAATAACCGAAAACATTCAGTGAGTGCAATTTTTCCCCTGGCAGTTTATTATGGTATGAAGGAAAAAACAGTTTGGTGTGTCTGACATGAATGTTAATTTTACAAATGAAGGAGGAGGTTGTGGCTATTAAAATATGGTTACACAAAGTAGGAACATTTTTTTTTTTGAAGAAGTGTACAGTACAATGGATTTCATTGATAAACAGACTCTTTAAATATACATGACAGAAAAAACATCCAAAATTATGTTGTGTTTTTAATCAACATCTTTATCCCAGGGAATTGGGGCGGGAGAGAGGGAAATCCGTATATTTAAAACAGAATACAAAATAATAAGAAGAATTTGGAGCCAAGAATGAAGCATTTGTCTGCTACAAATAAACACGACTGAGGTGAGCAAATCAGAAAGACAACTGTTTTTAAGAGCTGGGCATCCTGGCATGGATCATTTTGCAAAACTAGCCTCTAATATGTTATCAAGACCAAACATTTGATTTCCCCAGGGGCAGCTTTGCATAGCCACAGCGCCATGTCTTGGTTGTCGGGAATCATTGACTTATGACCATTCACTTAATAACCATTCAAAGTTACAACTGATCAAAAAATAGGGCGTAGACCCTGGATTCAAAGGCCTGATGATCGCGGCTCCTATGTGATTTGGTGCTCAGCAACATGGCCACAATTATGGCTTACAGTTGCATTTGATGATGGTTTCCCTGAAAACTGGCACTTGCTTCTGGTTTTCAGCCAAACCACCCCAATCAAGAAACATTGGTTTGCTTAATGGCCGTTCCATTAATGGCCGTGGCGGCAACTTTATGATGTTTTTCTTAATGACTGCCACAAAATAAAAGCTTGCGAAGATGGGTTTTAGGAGCGTCATACAAGGATCACGGACAGATTACGGTCGTGTGTTGAGGACGGCCTGCACTCTCATTGGAGGTGGTCTGGCCAAGGAAGGTTTGGGAAGGTAGTAGCTACTCTCAGCTGTGCACCTTTCCTTGATATTATCCATGGGGTTCGTTCACCCTTACGGCCACATAGCTTGGAAGGGCTGTACAGAACCCGGAAGTTCATGGGGACACCTAATATTTCAATAGCTTCTTTTCTTTTAAATAAAAAAAATTAAAAATCAAAGTCATTAAAGGAGAAACTACAAAGCATGGGAGTCTTTAGTTAGAGGTAGCACAACCCAGGAATCGTTAGAAAATTAAAACAGAAAAGAAAAACAAAACTAAACTTCTGCCTATGTTCAGGAGGTGTACAAATAATATAAAGAGAAACAAGAGAGAGCTAGAAGAAAGCAAGGAACAGGACAACCTCAGAAGATTGTTTTTGGGGGAAATTGATTCTTTTTCCTCCCCCCACAATTTCCAGGAATAGTTTGGAGCAATTAGGTTTTTAAGGAGAATGTTCACACTGGTTTATTTTTTTTATCTTTTTTACACATACATCGGATTCAACGGATTGGCTTTCCAATGGACATAACACCCCACCCCAAATTTTGCCTCTCCCCGTTTAAGATCGTGCCGTGAGAAGATACTCACTGCGTGAAGAAACCCCCAGATGGGAAAACTAAACCCCCAAACCCCCAAATTTTTCCATTTCGTGTAGGAGCTTGTCTCACAGAGCTGTTTTTGTGAAGCTGCGTTGGTGGCTGATCCAAAATGGGGATTTCTCCAATTTGCACTAGAAGGAGGAAGGAAGGAAGGAAGGAATCACTGCGAATTTTTCTTTCGGTTTATTCTGTTGTCCAGGGCACCCCCTCTCATTCATATGTTATGTCAAAAACATAAAATATTTGATGCTGTAATACACAGTATTACTGGAACTAACAATAATATTTGCATATTTAGAACAAAGTGTAATTCCTATAATATAAGAAAGGAAAAAAAAGTAGTCCATAAGGTATTTACAGTGTCCAGCAAAGAAGTATAAATACTTCCATATTTTAATGTTTAGGAAAACATAATTTACAAAATATTCAAATATGTACACAGCTGCTTGGAAAAAAACACACACCCTCAAGGGCAGTTAAGCAAAGTTGGACATCCTTTTTTTCCTTTCGATTTGGGGGGAAAAAAAGATGATTTAAAATAACGTTTTTGTCACTGCTTGGGTTCCATTCCTGCAAAATTATTTACACTTCCTTCCCTTCCTCTCGAGAGTCACACATGTCCGGCATTCTGAACGTGTTGTCCCAAAATGTCATCTATCAATGTCAAGTTATTTAGCCAGTCTTCATCTGTGCCACCGCTGTTCTTCATCAACGAATCGATCAAGTCAGCTTCGCTGCACGTCCCGGGCAACATAGCGTTGTTCTGTTGTGGTACGAAGTCGTATTGCGGCGACAACTCCAAAGCGGCATTCATCCTGTTGAATGTTGTGACGGAGGACTGCCCAGCCGAGCCTGGATAACTCGGCGGCCCAATGGCTGGGCCGGCGTTGAGCTGGTTGAACCCCGAGACCGCTTGGGGCATGGGTTTCATAACATTCATGGCAGTTGGCAAAGGTCCTCTCGCCAAGCCATGTCTCAGGTTCTGATTATTTGGAGGGATCAAGCTTTGGTTAGAAGGTCCAAGGTTCATTTTTTGCATCTGCCTGGCCTGCACCCCGGGAACGATCTGGTTGGGTGGCGGCCTGGCTTGGTGAGAAAACGGTTGGCTGGGGAGGCTTGACCTGACACTCTGTTTGGAGAAGACCGGGTTGTTTGGGAACTGGTGCATGGTGGCCTCCATCGGATTTTGGCTAGGCATCCTGGGGACGACAGTGGGCGTCCACATCGGCGGCGAAGAATTGGCATAGATAGCAGGCATCCTGGCCATGGCGGGTTGCCTCAAGTGCTGCTGGGCGGAAGAATGGGTCACCAAAGCCCCGGCGGGGAAGTTGGGCGTGGCCATCCCCGGCCGGGCTGCGGGATGGCTGTGGACGGTCTGGCATCCCGAAGTCATGGCCAATGAGTTTTGGCTTCCTCGGAGCGGGAGGTTGAAATCGGTGTTGGGGGGGAAGATGGTGGCTTGCTTGTTGGGGTTATGGGGGATCATCACCAAGGCTCCGCTGTTCTGGTTCACGGTGGCAGCAGTGGGCCCAAGGCCGGGGCCCAAGGTGCTCTGGAGCATCCCTTGGGTAGGGGGCATCATGCGGTGGGTGGAGCCAGGGGATTGCATGGTCTGGCTGCAGTCAGTTGGCAGGGACTGCGAAACTGCTGGGGAGAAATGAGCAGAAGCTTGAATTAGTAAGGGGGCAGAAGCTCAGCAGTCATGCCTTCAAATCCATCATCATCATCATCTCTTTTATCCATTAAACATGAAACTCATTCAACTGAACATTTAAACATGTATCACAAATATCATTGACTGATGGTTGATATGGGTTGGCCAATAAAGAATTCTCTTCTCTTCCTCTTCCTCTCCACTCTTTACTTTCTGTTCTGTTCTGTTGTATTCCCTTCTACTCCATTCTATATTTTCTCTTCTCTTCTCTTCTCTTCTCTTCTCTTCTCTTCTCTTCTCATTTCTCTTCTATATTTCTGTTCTATTGTATTGTATTTCTATCTATATCTATATCTATATCTAATCTATATCTATATCTATATCTATATCTATCTATCTATCTATCTATCTATCTATCTATCTATCTATCTATCCATCCAT